TTTCTTATCCTTATCACGCTAAGCTTACTTATCATTATAATTTCCTCTTTCAAATTTCTTTTATACTTTTCTTTTATCTTTATTTGATTATTAAGGTAAGAAACTCAATCTGATTTGTGCCTTATTCGACAGATTGTTCTCCTACTTTTAAGCATTTTGATCCCTTTAACCAGAGCTTAACTATTTTACCGTTTTATAATGTCAGATACTTATCAAATTGATATTTCGCCGACAGATTTCCCTTAGTCACTAATTTGCGAATTCGCACTTGCTAGTGCCAACGTGTTCATGGACATTTTTCTCTATTTGGTCTTTTTTAAGCTTCAGTCTTTTATTAATGTGCTCCATATTTTAATTGGACTTTTCATGTCAACTGATTAATAAAATAGTAGTTCGAGATATAAGATAATAAGCAGGCCCATGACTATTATATTGTTACAGGACCAGGGTTCTGTATAACGCTACATACTATTTTAACCAGATTTTTACATATATTCTATCTTTTCTATGTTGCTACATTGTATATTGAGTCGTTAGCCATTTTGGCTCGATTTTACCTATTTGTATATCAAATTAAAATTTTCTTGCTCCATCATCTCTTTGAATATGGAATACGAAAATAACTTTAGCTGTTGAATGACACCTTGTCTTCTTGCATACACATTTAATAGGTAACGGTACTATGCTATTTGATTCAAATTTGTTTTCGATAATACCTTAACTGGTATCCGATTTCTCCGGGGTTGCTAATGAAACCTTGAATTATTTGATTTTAGCCACTTTTAGCTAACAAAGACCTTTCATAATGCTAGTTAGTTAAGCATTCCTGCCTCAAAAATGATCTTGTTTAGCTTAGATATCGACCATTTTTTATGCTTTCATGATTTTTACTGGCATCAACAATTTTATTTATTTTTCATTAGCATGCTTCATTTTTATGTGAAAAGCATTCTTACTTCTTCTATTAGCCTTTTTTAGTTAACATAATTTTATCGACAGCTAGTTTTGATACATGAGTATTTTTATTATTTACTTTAACTTATAGCTATGCTACTTTAAATAGCCCTACTCTTGTCTTTTTTACCTCAACTGTTTGATTATCTTTTCAAGCTGAATTTCCTTTCTTAATAGATGATCGGGAAATGCACCTTCTTCGGAAACGGCTAGAACAAACAGAACGTGAAATGACTCGCCTTTTAGCTGCCATGCAATCTGTTGAACAGCATATTCAACCTGATCACTTGTTGCCAGAATTAAACTCTCAGACTTCACCACCTCTCACTCACTCTCATTATCAACATGTGCAAGACATGCCTGATGGTGGCTCAGAAATAAATAAAGGAGATATATCCCAAAATTGTTTTTCGGAAGGCGTTCCGGCTAAATTAATTTCGTATTCTGTGAGTGATAAGCAAAACAATTCAGCTGAAGTAGAAGAAGAAACTCCTCTGCATATATTGCCTTCGAATGAAATCGATTCAGACTTGGCATGTGGGTCGGAACTGGGTTGTGTGGCTAATCTTTCTTGCCCACTAGATGAAAACGCCGAGGAGTTAAAATCTGGGGGTTTTTTAAATTTTGTATCAGATGATACTGTTAATTGCCACGGAAATCAAATAAAAGTCGACCCCGCAGAAGAAGATCCATCTCATTGTATCTATACTTCTGAGGAACAGAAGGCCCTTGCAATTTCGTCTATTCAAAGTCCACTCCAAATAAAAGGTCTTTCACAAGAATTAACTTTGAGACAAAAGAAGGTGAAGAATGTACGAAAGGACAAACGGACTAGACAGAAGGTTCATGATCATAAAGATGTAGCCCCAAAGAAAACCGCAGCCAAACCAGTTTCGGAGTTTTGCAAAGTAATTAATAGCCCCAAAGAATCCTACTTGGATTCTATATTGCCTCATAGTGATGGAGTTCAATTGGGCAAGTTAATTCTTTCTCTTAATTGAAGATGCGAATTAATTTGATTTTTTTAATCGTACTGTACTATAGGAGTCACTGTATCTGCTTTACTAACCAGTATAAGAACTTTATTCGCAGATTTTCTATTATCATTTTCAAGCTATATCTATACAAGAATTTATCATCCTTTATCTTCTCATATCAAACTTCTGGGTACTTGAATTTATTGAAAGCCATTATGGCCTTCCTTAAATAACTATGAATAAGCTATGAAAGCAAAAACAAATCGAGCTTCACTTTTATATTTCTTTTAAACAAGCTTCTGTGCATAATTCCCAAAGGTGTTTAAATATTTGGAATAGCCCTATGACGTCTTGCAACCCAATCCCTTATATCATATTTAACCCGATTTTTACTCTAGCCCCTTAGGTACTCGTGAAAAAAGTTTACTTTTCTTTAGCTAAATTATGGGCACTCTAGATAATCATGAGCAATAAAATTTCTTGATGCATCTTCAACATGGCCGGATTTTCGACTTAACCAGGAATGTGTCTCATTTAATTCAAGCTTAAAGCTATTCGATTAGTCTAAGAGTTAAAGAAATTTTGATATTAAAAAATTAACTTTTGTGACTATCCAATAAATTTTCTTTAGCATGTCTGCATGAAAATTCACCTACACGAATGTTTATTCCATCACTTGAACATATTGATATACTTGATAATAAGTTGACTCCATACTGCAATATTGTTTTCCCTTATTATTCAATAACTTAGTTCCATATTTTGGGCTATATTTATAAATTATAAAACCTTGTTTTTTACCTTGTCGGAACTAAAAATTGGCAGGTATAACCAAGGGCATTTACTGGATCCAAAAGCTCTCATCCTTTAGTTGGGTAAATTATCAATATTGTGAAATGACTTTCTATTTAAAGGGAAAAGTTTGTTAAAAGAGAATCCCTTAAAATTTCTTTCCGGAAGCCGAAGGAGGATTGCCGCAGAATGGAGACTTGTATTGTGCGAAGAGGTCATCGGCTCACCATCCTGCGATCCCAATGAATCTGTTATAAGCTTTCGTCTGTACTGTGACAAACATCATCAGA